ATTGTGTTGTCTGTATCAGCTGCTATTGCTGCTACCACCGCTGGTGTGTCCATGTAGAGAAGAGCAAACTTCCACTGTGTCTGAGGCAGAGGTAGACCTGGGCCTGCTTTTTACCTTGGAAAATTACAATGCATTCTTTGTCTTTGGTTCAACGTGGCGCGTCGTGTTGCTGCCTCTTGAGACCTTTTAGAAAAAAACAAAAAGAAAAAAAAAACATACTTTCCATTTCTTAACTTTGCTATTATGAAGTGCCAGGCCCTCCTTGAAGTCAGTGTTGGCACTGAGTTGCAGGTTGCGAATGAAGCAACAAACTGAGCATGGAGGTAAACTGTGGTGCTAATCTGTTCATAGCTGTGTTCACAGGCTGTATTAGCCATATTATTCCTTCAGTTGATGACTCGGGTTGGTCTCGTGTTTCTGACTGCTGCACTGCTGTATGCTGACATGGCAAGTTATAACTCTGCTGCTGCTTTGCTGATGAATGTAGACTAGTCTTCCTCAGCAGGTTCATTCAGACAGGTGTGAGTGTCTGAAGGAGCTTTCCTGTTGTTCTATTTCCTGTTTGTTTGACACACAGAGGAAGCCTCTTGTCGTCAGGATCCAGAATGATCATGAATGTTGTATCTTTATTTGGCTGATGCCCAGCTTGTATGTTGAACTTTATTTTAAATAGTATTAGGGTTTGATATTTATGCTCTGACTATGTCGTATGTTGGTCATTTGAAACTTTTCCCTGAATTACATGTTTTTTTTTTGCCTTTTACCCTGATCCCTTGTTCATACCATTTCTTTGATATTTATGTTAGTCCTGTCAAATGTAGAGTTGTTGAATTAAGATTTTATAGCTTACCACTGGTGCAGGCTTCACCAGGAGTATGAGACTTTTCATGGGGTTCACACACATGAATCAAAGTCAGAATGAAACAAGAATGATTTTCAACTTACTAAATGTTATTCAAATTAAACAGATATTAATTCAATAATACTTACATAATATCTAGTATAAAGTCATTAACGAAGATATTTTTGTAATATCCTGCCACTGCACTCTGAAGATGCAGATCCAGCCATTAATAAATGGATGAAAACTATTTTGTCCATGGTAGATAGGCCAACAAGCATATTTGCTTACTTGCTGAGTGTCAGATAAGAAGCTTGATAGCACTCTCTTTTATTTTATAGAAGGCTAAATATGAAGCCATAGCCAGTTATATCTATTAAGTCCATGCAGACATTTATTGACTGCATTATTATACTGACTGTTTTTTGGAAAGGGGATTTTTTTTTTGTTACCTTCTCTGTATTCATAAGTTAACAAACCTTCAGATCTTCAGTTTCATTGTGGCTTTGAGTGAGCTTTGTGAAGCTCATGAAGAGTTCTGTCATTGGAGGTTTTTTACGTGGTTAGAAGGGGCAATATTCACCATTTTACACATCAGCTAATAGATTCTACCGTCACATTCATGTTTGGAAGCTCAAATGATTGTTTAATGTTGTACTACTGGGTTGCAGGTTGTAAGTCCCATAAACGTGTACTTGTTATCATTCCCTTGCTTCACATTCATGAGAAAATGAGAAGTTTGATAACCCATTAGCTATAGTATAAATTTGATAACCTATTAGCTATAGTTATACAGCAGCTAAAGTTAGCAAGCAGCTATTCTCAGCTCACATAAGCCAAGAAGTAAACCCCTAGCAAGCATTGCGCTAACGCTATAGCTCCTATCTAGCATTGCGTTAGGAGATATAGATTACTTGTTAGCTAACTAAGAACCAATCTCCTAACATTACATTAGCTAAGAGGAAAACTCCTAACATCATGTTAACTCAGAGGTAATTGCATAAAAAACATAATTTTAGATAGGAATATCTAACTTTCCTTTCCTACAAAAAAGTAGTATTAGCGTTCAGCCAATTCCGAGCTAACCTTAAGGTCCGCTAGCAAGAACTTTGACGTTAACATGGGCTTAGTCCTGACAGAAACTCTAAAAGGTTGTCAACCATATTATGTTAACTTTAATTTGCCAGATTTACCCAGGGATTGACACGTTTAACTGTCTGTCAATTGCAGATTAATCAAGAAGCTTGAAATGATAGCGATTGGTTTAGAAACCACACATTTATGCAACCTACATCGGAATACAGTAGTGTGACATTATACATGCATTTTAGCATCCCAACCTGAGCTTGACCTCTGAGACAAATGTCCGCTGTGTGATTATGGTCAATACCACCTCCAACCAGGCTCATTGAGTCAGCAAAGAGAACCCTGCCTTGACACAACGTTATTTGTCCCGACACTGATTGCTGATCAGGGTCTCCACAGCCTGGAAGCTGGGGAAATGAAACAAAAATTGATCAGTCTTCTTGGAAAACTTCTCTACTGCGCCAGAGATGTTTTTATTTTAGATTTTTGGATTTTAGATTTTGTTAGAAGGGCTTTGGTTTGCAGTCTTGTCAGGGAACTCCTGCAATTTGCCAGGAGCCACTTAATAAAGGCTGGTGGGCAGAGACCTCTCACCCTCCCCTACAATGAAGGACGATGAGGGGGATGGGGTTCATTTCCTCCTCTGCAGACTGATCTTATTAAAATAAATGACAAAAACCTACCCTTAATAAAAAACAAAACCCCTCTTCCCATGTCTACACACTCATCATCCAACACAGCTGATTGATGATTGACCTCCTTCCAGACTTACCAAAATGAATGGAGCAAGAGGAACTTTACAAAAGTTAATGTTGATCGCAAAGCATCTTTTATGTTTTTTTATTTTTTATTTTTTTGAGAATTCAAACAACAGAAAGTATGATTTTTATAGGAAATCCATACAAGCCCAAACATGTAGAGGATGTGTGAGATACCGGTCATCTTTAGCTCCACAGCTACATGCCACTGTTCTGATGCTTCTGGTCTTGTATGGTAACTTCTTTGACTAGATCAACAGCATGGGATCTCTCTGTAGTTAGTCCTGTGTGTGTCCTTCTCCCCAGTCTCAGTAGGAAGGCTGTTCTAAGTGCTCTATAATAGATCTCTTGGTGATTCTAATTTCACAAAGAAGCAAAACCTGCAGAAAGTAAAGTATCCTGCTGAAACTAACTTGATCCTCTTTAGCAATGACATCTATATTTGTAGTTCACATATATGCCTGTTCAATACAATATCTTGACAGTTGCTATATTTATGTTGTGTAATAAATGTCGTGCTGGGTTTTTACTTCTGATTTAACTTACTTTTTTGTTTTGTTTTACATTGTATTTTATTTTCCTGGGAGGCAGAGTGGGTGGCTTTATGCCCAGGCAAGGAAATCTAAAAAATGTTTTGTTTCTTTTTTTTTGTTGGATTGTATGTTTGTACTGTAAGGACACATTCTGTACAGAGCTTCTGACAGTTTTTGTCTCTGGCTGCTTGACATCCTGCGGACACCTGCCCTGAATCTCTGTCGTGTTTCCGTGCCTCTCTCTCATTTTTATTTCTTTTCTTATTTTTTAAATATCATTCTTTCTCTGTTGTATCAGCCAGGAGTTGGTACCTCAACTCTGTCTGCTTGTAACCACAGTAGTTTGATTATGTTTATTGATTTTAATACAAAAATAATAAAACCATTAGCACCCCAAACTGACTCATGTTTGTTTAATGGATTTACCTGTGCACACATGACCACATTGAACTGAAGAAGTTTTATTGAATTTCAAACAATAAAAAGGATTAATGATGTTAACTTCAACATGTCTGCTTCCATTCCATTGATTATCACTGTTATAAATAAATGTAAAATCACTAGCACCTTGATTTTGATGCATTTTTGCAATTTTTGCAAATTTTTGTTTCTTTGTTATTATTCTCTATTTCAATTTTAAAGCTCTCATAAAATAAGATTTAAACATGTTATTATTAAAGTATTTTTTATTTACTTCTAAACTTTCTTTTTCTGGTTTTGTAATTGTAGAAGAACATTTTCCCGATTTTCTGGGGTTTGGGGGTCACATATGGGCGCCGCTGGGCATCACGTGGCGATGTCATGACACTAAACGCACCATCAGCTAGATAAGTGCAAGAAGTTCAATTATGAACCTACTCTTTAGGGAGCTTCTTTATTGAGCGGAAGAAAAAGAATTATAAACCTGTATAAAACAATGTGCATGAATTTAATGGATATCTTTTAATTTGTATTTCTTAGTCATTTAGTTAATTGAACTCATTCTTATATTACTGTGTAATACGGACACCAGATTCGATTATGTGCAGGAAAAAACGTGGACTCATTTAAAAAAAAACAAAAAAAACAGATCAAATAATAAACTGTGCATTCAACACATCTCTGCTTTTTGGTGTACTCTTAAGATTTATTCAAACTGTAAACAGCCCAAATACGTTTTTTTTATTTCCAGGATAAAAAACTTTAGCATAATAAATCCAAGCGAAGAACTTCCATTTCCATGCCCTATAAACTAAGCTCACCTTTATTTTTCCATAAAAAAGAAGTCGACTATTTGTTCGAAAAGGGGGAAAGTCATCCCTCTTGCATGGACATAGGGAACCATGAAAACATAATTAAAAAAAAGTGAAATCTCTAACCTATCTAAGTAGGCTAGATGGGCAATCATGCAAGGGAGCATTTCTTATTATATTTCGGAACAGAGTTACGACAACTCTTTCCGATAATTCCTATAAACTGATGGGTTCAGTCGGTTTGAAAATACTGAAACCATCACATCAAGGCAAATAAATGGATCTTTATTACACCCCCAAAACAAAACATTAATGTCCAATGGTCATTAGACATGTAGTTTTCATTTAAACAATCTACAATCAAAACATTTATAAAAAAACTAGTTTTCTAATCCATTGTAAATACCCTTTAATACAGTAGCCTAATGTAAAAACTAACAAGTTCCACTGGAGCATGGGGCATTGACGGGAAGGGGCGGCCCACCACTTCTTTTAATCAGTCTCCGCCCATTTCGCGATCCGCGACGAGGACGCTCGCTGTCTTTGACCTCCAGCTTGCCATACATAAACAAACATGGCGTCTTCTGGTGAATTTCACGTCCGAATGTGTGGACAAGAAATCATAAAATATGACCTAGAAATTAAAGCTCTCATACAGGTAAGAACTTTAACGTATGGTTTGTACATGTTTTTATTTTTATTTTTGCCCATTTTCAAACTCGGTGATGGTTTTGGCTTCCTACAATCCTAAAAACAAAATACTTGAGTTTAAACGATCACTGTGTCGCAATGTTGCGATCGTTTTGATCATTGGTTTGTTCATGTTTCATAAATGTTTCATAACACGACCCTGTAGTTAGTTAGTTGACTTTCATTATTATTTTGTATTACTATTTGTCGAATAGGAATATAAAAAAATGTATATATTTGTATATATATTTACTTGTATATTTTGGGTCAGGGTATCACTGCACAATCCTTAATTCATCTGTGATCCAATACAAATTAACTTCTTTCTTTTGTTTCCAGACGAAAAACAAGAGAGCCGTTTTACTGTCTGAATCGGAAAACAATAAACAAACCAATATTGGGTCAGCAGGTTTCAGCCCTGTAATCCCCTAAACCACAGCGAGCAGGTTTCAAGCATCAACAAGTTAAAAATGTCTCTTTGATCTGGTTTAATTTCATTAAAAAAAAAAAAATCACACACTTGTTTCGGTCCTCACAAAGCCTGCAGCATTTCAATATTTACTCAACTTTTGTCAAGTTTCCTTTTAATTCTTTTTTTTTTTTTTTAACTTCAACTAGAAAATCTGCTTCACCTTAAAAAAGACACACAGGACAACTCACTCTTCTTTGGCTTTTTTTATTTTCCACCTAATCTTATTATGTACAACAGACAACAGGCCTCTTTGTTTCAGTAGACATCAAAAAATGATTTCCTGATAAGTTGATAACCCAGAAAGAGAATATACACTGTTTCATTACCATTAAATTAAAGACATGAACTATTCAAATTAAGTTATTAAGTATAATAAATTATTATTTTAAATCAATAATTGACAGTACCTTGAATGAATGTGAATGAAACATACTGTTGGCAGCATTTAACTCAACATGTACCTTTTAATTCTAAATAATATAATACATACACAGACAGTTTAGTAGAAACTGGGCCGACGGTTTAGGAGGAGACGTCAAAAGTGTGATTTTCATAAAATTCAAACTAGCGGAGGACCCAGCATAGCAGACTTTGATGGTCCAAGAGGCTTTTTTTTGTAGTTAAAAATGAACCGGACCAGTGTGTCAAATTTTAAGTCGTGTGAGGGGCGTGTCCTTTCAAAAGTCTTTCTCATGGGAATTTGAGTGGCGGCACAAGACAAACAAAAAAATCAATCAAGCCCCTACTTACTTGGCAAACACCGTATATTTCAGTATTGTGTGGATGGCAACTTGATAAGATGATAATTGAGTTTCATAAGTAAAATCCGTCACTCGCATAAGAGTTAGTTTAATTAACATTGGAATTTAGAAACCATCAGTCCTTGTCTCTGTGCATCTGCATGGGTTCTCCCTCCGTACAAAAGGCACACTAACACCTACTGGCAATGTAGAGTAACCAGTTAATCTAACCAGCATGTTGGTTTCTATGTGTTATAGATAAGGAATGGATGAATGGATCGTTCTGACTGTTCAGTACCTCTCTCATGAGTCAGCACAAGACTAAAACAAACACCTAATTCTCTGTGTGTGTGTGTGTGTGTGTGTTATCTGCAGGACATCAGGGATTGCCCTGGACCTCACTCAACTCTCATGAAGCTCAACTCTCAGGTCAAAGAGAAGTTTAGCAAACTCAGGCTCAGAATCCAGGTCAGGACCTCAGATCACACATACTGCATGGTATTTGACAGACTTCCCTGCTCATAATCCAGTGAAGTCTGACGTGTTGTGTTTTTGTCAGGATCTGGAGCAGATGGCCAGAGAACAGGACAGAGAGACTGACAGAGTGGCCATCCAGGAAGAGACAGAGAGCCAGCGAAGGCAAATGCTGAGGTGTGTGGACAAAGACATATATGAAAACATCAAGCATCTTAGTTACCCCTTGTGAATCTTTGACTTTTTTTTATAAAAGTGAAGATGTAATTGAATTGTATAATAATTGTCTAAATATGAATTCATTTTCAAAGCCAGCATTCAGTCTCCTACAGTGCTTTCAATATCTGTAAAGTTCAGTAGATACTTTGGTTTCGTCTCAGTATTCCTTCTCGTCTCAGTATTCTTTCTCAGTTCTGTTTCTCTAAATCTGTGTTGTGTTCTCTCTGTGGTTTCCAGTAACCAGACAGCTTGGAGGAAGGCTAACCTGGCTTGCACTCTAGCGATAGATAACATGGAGAAGGACGAGCTGCTGCAGGGACGAGAAAACCTGAGCACCAGACAGAGGCGAGTCAACCTGCTTCATGACATTGAAAATTCAACCCTTTTCTTCATTAAGTACATTTGTTTTTATCTTGAAATTGGGTAAACTTTCACTGAATTCAAAAACATGTAGCAATGTGGTTGGGTGGTAACTGAAGGAAGACAAAATCATTTTTTTTCAGTTACTGGTTAACATCATCATCATCATCATCATCATTTTAGAGACAAAGACGGTGCACTATACTCCTCTACACTGTAGAGTCACTGTGTCGCTGTAGAGAGGATGTTGTCTTGGCTGGCCACCCTTTGTATAGACATCTTTGTCTATTTATTTGTGAGCTGAGATACATGTTGTGTGATATTGTGTGTCTTTTTTCAATATAACAGCTTAAAAAAATGATTAATCACAGATAACACAGTTTGTTTATATGATCTTGTTTCTTAAAGCAAAGTCACAACTGAAACTATCTAATAAGAAGTGTAGATTTAATGGGTTCAAACAAATAAACAGCATAAAAAAATGTGTTTAATCACCTTTCCTGTTCTGTGTTTTTACACTCAGGAAGGCGACCAAAGAAAGCTTAGTGGAAACCAGCAGCAACATCACAGAGAGTCTAATGTCCATCAGCAGGATGATGGCTGAGCAGGTGAAGCAGAGTGAAGACACCATCAGCACGCTGGGTAAAAAAAAAATATCTCTATACTTTGATCAGGCCTATAGTTAGTGAAAAAAAAAGTCTTTCCTTTTGAAAATATATATATATTTTTCTATCATCCAACATTTCCTGAGCAATCTCTTCCTCCTCTTCCTCCTCCTCCTCCTCCTCCTCACTGTAGCCACCTCCTCCATGACAGTGCAGGAAACCAACGAGGAGTTCAAAAACATGACAGGAACCATCCACCTGGGGAGGAAACTAATCCTCAAGTACAACCGACGGGAGCTGACGGACAAGCTGCTCATCTTCCTGGCTGTGTCTCTCTTTCTCGCAACCGTCCTCTACATCCTTAAGAAACGTCTCTTCCCCTTTATTTAAGCGGCAGCCGCTTCTTAAAGGGGCATGTGCCCAGGCTTCAGAAATATTTATTTCCAGTTACTTTATTCAGCAGAAAGTTCCCATTTGGAGTTTGAGAACATTTGTGGAGGAAGCTTAGATTACGGGGAGAATAAAGAGCAGAACAGAGACTGGCTTCTGCCCAGAAGAAGAAGCTGTCAGTAGAAAATGTTTCATCTCATACGACCTTGCTTTTTCCTTTTTGTTTTTTCCTTTAATGATGATGGTTCATGAAGTGTGTATGAAGGGAGAAAGAAGGAGGAATCCATCACATATCACAAGTAAAAAGAGTGAAGCAACTTACTGGATTTTATAAGGATTCATGCATAACCTTAAAGCGACAGCATGCTACAAACAAGCTGAGTCATACTATTCAACAATGACAAGTTTTAAGAAATGTTGCAGTTGGCCGCTCTCTAAACCAGGCTGTCATAACTTCCTGCCAGCTGCTTCACGTCTTCGTCCAAGAACTTTTGAGTGACCGTGCTGTCTGAATGTGATGAAGTTTACAATTGGAAAAATGAATGCACCCTCTATGACAGTTGTTCTGTGAAGGCATTCATGCTGCTGCAACGAAAAGGGGACAGCAGAAAAAACAGTTTGAAGTGTACTGAGGCCTTAGTATGCCATCCAGCATTTTTAACAAACCAGAGTCAAAGCTTTCGTATGCAGTAACGCTTTTTTTGTTTACATTTTTGTCAAATTACGGTCTCTGTGTACAACGGGAGTGTATATGTTTGCACTGGATGGCTTTTCCAAAGATCCTTTGTGAGTTTACAAAGAGTCAACGTGTGCCTTTATCTCAATCTTACATCCAGACAACGATCAATCAGAGATACAGAGGTGTCAGTCTGGGATGTTGAGTCAGTCACTGTGAACATTTTCAACAAATGTCTAATAACTCTAATTGTTTGATTAAAACAAAGTATTTTTGGCATATTGACTGGTGTATTGTCTGTTGTATTTCCATAGATGCACCAGTAGATGGCAGCATACCCAACATTTAACATCCTCAGGTGATGTACTGTGCATTTTTGTAAAGAACTTTTTGTAGGACAGAGCGGACCTCGTTCACTCTCTTCTCTCGGTCCAGTAACATCAGAATCATTTAGTAATCAAGATGGTTACAAACAATTTTTTTTTTCAGTCATTTAAATAAAAACACAGCAAAACACAGTGTGACCCAAACTTTCTCTTTGGCAGATGAAACTATTTTCAAGGCCCCCCCAACCCTACACCACACACATCAACACATAAACATAAATGGATATACGCTTCTCACGCTGTCAGCCACGTCCTTTGCTAACAGATTTCAATGTCTTTAGACTTTATCTCAAACATTGTCTGTAAATAGAGAACAGCAACTTCAGTGTGTGACAACAAACTGAAAAAGAAACTAAGAAGTGGCTTTAACAGGGGGAGCAATTCAAAGTTATACTGTAACATCAAACTTCCACATTTTTAGTTATAACAACACTCGGGACGAATAACTCCCTAAAAATAAAAGACAGAAACCTTGTTAGATTAGTAGTTGTGAGGTCTGGTGAAGATTCTAAACGGTGTGCATTGTCTTATCTACCCCCTCCTTGGACCACAGGCTCCACTTTGGCCATGACATGTCATATGGATCCCAGGCTTCAAGCTGTATTGTTAGCATGACATCAATTAAAAAGAACTTTTAATTACATATGTATAACACTCTTTATAAATACAAAAACATTGATCTAGGTAGACCACTTTGAGCTGCACTTGTAATTCCCTGTAGTGTATATTTGTGTGACTATGCCCTTTGCTGAAAGATGCAGACTTACTGTGAAGTTGAAGTGAGGTAGATAGATTAAATAAGTTATAATCTTTTTCTTTCACTGATTTATTGCTAAAATAATAGTACTAACCATTCTGTCTGTTTATGATGTACTGACTTTGGATTTATCAAACACAGAGAGAGCAGATTCAGTCGCGTTGTCGATCTGACTCCTGTCTTGCTCAGCCACTGTGGTTGGCTGCTGCGCGGGTCCTTGTGCAGTGATAGGCCAGGGCACATTGGATGGTGGCGGGCCTGAGGTGGTGGGCTGCGGAACATCCGATTGGCTGAGAGAGCAGGTGCTGCCGAAGCTGCTACAAAGCGCCCCCCAGTGCTGCTCGCACTGTCTGCGTAGCCGCTGACTGACCCACGACCTGACCTCGTCTCCACAGTTCAACAGAAAGTTCATCAGCTCGACGTAAGGTCTGGTGGGACATGCACACAAGAAAAACAGACAAGAATGACCCACTGGTTTGTTCAAGAAAAGAAAAACATTATTTAAAAAAAATAAAACTAAAATTGTCTCTGTGTAATCAGCAGTAATTCAGCAGATTCAGATTTTTCTGAATAACTAAATATTGTCTCAATCATTTGCTCTGAAGATGTAACCATCAGGGGATTTGACTGAGACTGAGACCAAGTGAAATTTACCAAAGGAGATCATTTCAGCTCATATATTTTTGTTTCCAAGAGGGCCAGTCACTCTACTGAGCTGTGATTGGCTTGCTCAATGTTAGGGAAGTCATGCCAAAATTCTGCATTGGGTTGGATGGATTTAAAAAACACAGGATTATCCTACAGGAGGCTACTGACCTCTGTGAACACTGAGTTTCATTTTTAATCCGAACCCAAACGATAATATTTTTCTAAAATCTAACCAAATGGTTTTGTGCCGTAACCTCACAAAGTACTTTGGTAAAGATGTGAAACAGTCACAGTCAAGGGAAGGCTTGTGGTGTTGATTAAAACTAAAAATCACAACTAAACAGGTTAAGCCCCGAAGGCAAACTTCTAGGCTACAAGCAACACACATCACAGCAGGGGGGGAACAGGCAGAACCTTTTGAATCTGAACCAGGAATCTGAAACGGATGCAGATCATTGCAATGGGGCCACATGTAGAAAGCAACAAACATGTTTTCCAGTGAGGTCAACTGTTTATTTCTTGGTTTGCTTCAGTGGTTAAACAATACCAATATTGATCTGTAAACGGCTGAAATGTATTATGATGTTAACTTAAAAGGAGGAAGGCAGATGACTTTACTCAATAATACCAATAACAGAGCATCACCTGTATAAACAATCACCTAGCAACCAATACCACAGCAACCTAAAAAAAAAAAAAAATCAAACTAATTATTTGACTTCACTTCCACAAAAATATAGAGAAAAGTGCGCAGACAAACAAGTTAGAACTTCTTTTCATTAACGTTGGCTGATTATTTATTTCTATGTGTGAGTTTCTGTCTCACCCTGGCGGAAACATCAGGTCGAACTGCACCAGGCTTCCCATGGTGTCCATGTGGTCCCGTAGTGCAAGGCACAGCTGGTGTTTGGAGTAGCACTCTCTCTGCAGTGAGAACACCATCTCTTTGACTGCTGAGCACCGGCGGCTCACACAGCTGAAGCGCTGCCGTAGTCCTAGTGCCATGCACCGCAATCCATCCTTCACAAATGACTTGCCCTAAGAGGGGGAACAATCAGTGGGACATGCCTTTCATCATTAAGTAATATGACGTGATTGTTATGGTCATGCTGTGGAAAACATTTGGGATAATCAGATTTTTTTTTTGTCTATTGTAACGAGGCAAACATGTTCTATGTGTGTTTAAGGAGCTATTGGTTGCTGTAATTCACAAATGATTAAAAGGTAGCACCAGCCAAATGTTTTGTGGGTTTCCACCAAGGTCTTAAATTATGTCTCAAATAAAAGTTCAAATCCAGGTGATCTGCATTCAGCATCTAGTGTCTACTGGTATTTAATAGCTGTGATTTTTGGACCTCAACATCACTTTCAAGAGATCCAAACATTGTCCCCTCTGATAAATTACTAAATCAAACAGTCAGTCACAGAGGCTTTTCCAGACACTGCATCAAACGCAGTCACGACTAAATATTTGCCTTTGGTCAGAGCTTGCTGCGAGAGTGGTGAGAACTACCAAAAACAGTAAATATCTGTGGATTCATCACTACGCCTTTCTTTCACATGAAAATACTGATTATATCTGCTTTCAAGCATCATTGACGTTGCGTTGGTGTTTTGTCTAACCGTCTGTTAGAGAGAAATGTTCTCCCCTTTGCTATGATACTTTTATTTAAATCAAATTATACTGTTTGTTACTGTGGAGCTGTATTATAATTATCCACGTTCACAGATCCTTGCTGAACATCATCCAGTGTGCCTGATCATACAGGAGACACATTGGACCTGCATCACTCTCTAATGCACTTCTATTCTAGTGAAGAAGACAAGATGTCCCCTCTCTTATTTCAGTTCCCCTCTCAGTTTGTCCTGTATCCAGTGCTGCCATGCATAACTATATAGTGATCCCTACACAAGAAACATTCTTCACAAATGAGAGTAATGACGGAAGGGATTAAATGAAATATAAACATGTATACATATGCCTTATCTAAGCTGGCGCTTACCTAATGTTGGATGTGATTTCAGACCATGTCAGCTATGGCAAAGGCAACCTCATGGGAAACAAATTAGCCTATTTCTGAAAAGTGTTTTTTTCATGGGCTACATAAGGACAAACAGTCCTGCTGCCCCCAACCTGTGAGTTGTAGCGCCCAGCGTTGTGCAGCAAAGTGAGGCAGATGTGGTGCAGCCCTTGGATTTCACAGGAGTTGTTGCTGAAACACTGAAACGTCCCACAGCCGACATCCCCTGAACTCACCAGGCAACTCTGAATATCAGCTAAGAGGGATAGAAACAGACAGAAAGAAATAAGTGTGTACTCCCCTACAATCATTTTACAAACAGAAATGTGTGGATCCCCCATCTTGTAATAAACAGCTAAACAATATCACCTGAGAGGATGCTTATACTGAAAATCAGTACAACTGTGATTCAGTCATTGGCCAAATACAATAACAGGCATGCTGATATTCTGTGTAACAGCACAACCTAAAGTCTGATAATAGGCATATATTGAATTTCACATATTATGCAAAATACACTTTACCATGTTTCAAACACTAATATGTGTCCCTAGCTTGTCTACAAACCAACGAATGATGAGAAAGTCCATGATTTTTTTGCCTTCACTTTTCAGAAAATGTTTGATCAAACAGGCCGTTTGGAGATTTATCCTTTGTGACATCACAAAGGGCAGTAACCCTTCCCCCAGGTGGGTGACACTCCCACAGCTAGGTGTTTGTTCTGCCCTCTGCCTTCTTACCATAAACAATTGGGCATGGTGCAAGAAAGCCTAAGCCTTTCCAGAGGGGCGTGGTCAGACACAGCTTATTTGCATTTAAAGTTACAGACACAGAAACAGCCTGTTCTGAGCAGGCTGAAATAGAGGGTTTTATAGGTGTGATCAAATACAGGATCGAGAGTGTATTTTAACAAGAAACTTCAAAGACATGATTTGGGAAGCTGTGAGACTTGTTTAAAGTTGAAAAGGAGAATAATACCTGACCTTTAATAAACAGCAATAAGTAACACACATTTATTTTGCTCCATCAACACAACGGCCTGTTAACTGTTGCTTCTGGTGGCCTGTGGGGTTCTGAGTTATCAGCTTGAGTGACAAATACTTAACAGTGTTTAGAACATGTAGGGTGGAGTGATACATGGCTGAAAGACAAATTGATATCTCATCAGATCTTATGGAAATTCTCTTGTCACATCAAATCACTTGTTCAAAGCTAACTATTGGGCTGTTGTCATCAAAGCTTCTCGAATAACGAATTGTCTTTGAAATAGTTGTGAGTTAAGATTTATTTATTTATTTTTGGGCTTCTTATGCTTTTATGTAGAGATATGACAGTGGACAGAGTCGGAAATCAGGATAGAGAGAGTGGGGAACGACATGCGCCAAAGAAGCCACAGGTCGGGTTCGAACCCGGGCAAATTTGACAAAGACATAGGCCTACGTGACACCCAAGTTAGACAAATGTTGTTTACATAATGATGTGAAATGTTCATAATTATGAATGTGCCATTACAATTTTGAATAGAATATGGATTTAAAAGAGATTTGTGCTTTGTACTTTTTGACAGGATAGCTTATTGCCATTATGTTTAAGAAGGCTGCATGCGTCACTGTTGTTGGGATTCTTTAGGTGGTTTTAGGCTTGTCTTATTAAGACTATGTTTGTTTTTTAACGTTGATATCGTTCAGCCTGCATGTCAGCTCTGGCCCGAAGGTAGGGCCATTCGTAATGCACCATCCTGTTTGTACAGAGGGAATGTGCTTGGAGAGGATTGAGCCGCCGCAGCAACGCATTGAATTACATCCACCTACTACTGATGGGAAATTCACCTCTATTTTGTGAGCCAGATCATTTGGCTCGACTCCGTAATGAGAGCTTCCTCTTCTGCTGCCAAATGCTTCTATATTTAGAATCATATCTTGATTAAATAATTTAGTCAAACTTAACAATGTTTTGAGCTATAGCTATATGAGCAAACTCTTAAATGACCTAGACCTATAATGCAGGCGTAATCAAACTAAAGCACATACTTTTTGGAATAACCTATTGTATTTTGTATGTAAACTTGTAATTTCTTAAGAAAAGTAATACTATGTAAAAATAAAAAAATAATCATGTATGTGGGCAACAGGTGATAACTTTAAAAGTCACATGGTACTTGACCCACATGTTATTAAAGTGAAACATTTCTTTAAGAATACATTTAGGCTATTAAAAAAGACTATATGAAGTGGACAATGCTATTACACTGTCAACAAAACACACAAGAAGAGGAAAAGCAAAAAAGAAAGGGAAATCATCAGATGGGAATTTGCGCAACTCTACAGGAGTCGGCACAAAGAGCCAACTCGTTCGCTAGAACAAAACATTACTCTTTTAAGAAAGAGGCGCGCTAAGTGCCCGGTTTGGTCCGGGACAGGAATGGGTCTAAATTCAAATTACTACCGGCCTAATGGTACCCTATGTTACTATGCAGGTGCTATATCGACGTAATAAGAGGGCAATTTATGTTTTCTGGATTCAATACCATCAAGTGCTACGTCTAGGTTTAGTCACCTCAATTCACTGAAGACACACTGGAACCGACGTCTGCTCTGTCAGTAATAATGTTAATGATAACTCAATGTCATCATAAAATGAAAGTTACTGAACCGTCATAATTCAGGTATTCTCCAGAGGGGACTAAAAAATGCCACAATACACAGAGCCTCAAAACGGCCAATATTCAAAGCTGTGGCAACTGAAACGGAGCAAAGGAGTAGGCCTACTAAAGTTATATACCTGTTGCAAAGAACACATCATTCCAGATTTAAACACCAAAACCCTCGTTGTGTTGTTTTGGTCTCAAAATGAGCTTGCGCAAACTAATTCAACATTTCCTGGTGCGGGGCTTGTGACAAATTCAACCTGTGTTCACTAGCGGCTCATCTGTATGAGTAAAAGGTGGATGAAAATGTGCCATGTTTAGAATAGATATTTAGCCTAAAGTGCCAATCCACATGCCGTGGTAGCTCACCTGTGCTCTGCAGAGAAAGGCGTTTCTTGGCCTGGCTCACTTGTTTTTCCTGGACACCATGCAGTCCCATGGTCAGCACCTGTTGACAGACCAGGAGCAGAAAAAACACAGCGGAAAAGCTCCCCGGCATGTTTCAGCTCAAACGACGTTTGGTAGCCGGTTTGTGTGTGTGTGTGTGTGTGTGTGTGTATGTGTGTGTGTGTGTGTGTGTGTGTGTGTGTGTGTGTGTGTGTGTGTGTGTGTGTGTGTGTTTGTATTTCATAGGTTGCAGCAGCAGGAGCGCTTCACTTTCAAAGATTGACTGCGGCATGAAGGCTGAAATATATAAAGGCGCCAGAGAGCTGCGCGTTCAAGAAGACCTGAGTGTTTAACTCCACCAATCACAGCTTAGAGTTGTGAACGCGCGACAAGCTGGATCCAGAAGTTGATCATGATGTGAGAAAAAGATTAGGAGCTGCTGCGTTTACGAGGTACTGTATATGAAAGTCTAATACATTGTTACTGTAATGGCTGAGAAATGTTGGGTTACCAGTTTGTAGAAAGTTGAGGTTTAGTGTTTTTTCACAAGGACACATTGGACATGTGGCTGCACGAGCTGGGGACGAACCCCTGATCTTCTGGTTGAGAGAGGACCAACTTGAACTGAGCCACAGCCATACAAGATATATGAAACCTGATTTGATGCTTCTAATAGACAGCCAAGGGATTATCAAGGTTATTCCAAGTCAACTTCAAGTAACATTGGAAATCTGAACCAAATCATACATGACTATCCACTATTGTTGAGTCAATTTAATTAAATGTCTCAAAAAAGGACCACATGGCAGCACAGCCACTTGAATTTATTCTCTAATGACATTGCCAACAAAAAGGGGCTAGAGAAAAGATTAAGAAAATCTGGACCAAAATCAGTTTCAAATGTTCAGCACTACAGCAGCAGATTACAACCTTTTACATTTTAAGGCAAGTTCGGAAAAAAAGACTTTAGATTGCAATTTTTCACTATTAAATAATATTCAACAGTCTGAAACTTGGCAAATAACATACACTATTGTAACTTGACAATATTTTTTGGTTCCTGACAATTGCATCCTACATTTCCTTCTCTGTTTTTCATATTTCTTTAGTTGCTGGGTGTAATTTGACAAATAGGTCAATTCCTATCCTTTATCATTTTCAAATATGCAAATTGGAACATGTGTATGAGGCAGAGGGAAGTCCAGGCTGTGTTCTCCTTCTTCTGTAGTGTTCACATCTTGCTGTGTAGTTGTGGTTGTATTGTTTTTGGCTCCTAACAGCCTTGACCTTTGAAATGCACAAAGCCACCGGTTAAAATCATGTGACACCATAACATCAACAAGTCACACAAATACCTCATGGCGCTCCTCAGATGTATCAATCCTTCATCCAAGGGGCCTTCAGTGTATGTGTGCGTATGGTGTGTGTTATAGGAGGAGGGGTATATGTATGTGTCCCCAAAGGGGGCCCTGTGCAGGAAGACATAATCTCACAGGGCAAATGTTTGGACTGTTGTTGGAGAACACCCCACCTCCCCCTTGACCTTTCTTGCTTGTTCTCCGTCTCATCCTGCTTCAAAACATCCCACATCTTTCCTCACACAACCCCTGATGACCAGCCACACAATGACCCCTCACCCAGCACACACACACACACACACACACACACACACACACACACCAATATGCAAACGGTAAACATGCAGGGCCCTCTTGTACTCTTGTCTCTTACATGACTATGTGGTAAACAACATGTCTGCCTGAGTGTGTCAGTATGCATATAGATTCTGTTCACGAGTATCTGCTTAGTGATACAAGGAGGAAACATTACCGTCATTTATCAGTTACTTCTTGTTTTGTCCTTATGTGATCAGGATAAAACAGGACATTTCTCCACCTCTTGCACTGAATGGCATGTTCTTGTCAGCTCTGACAACCTATGTAAAGATTCATTAGTTTTTATGAGCTGAGTATTTGTCTACAATACAATGTAGGGAGGCGTAATTTTCACAAATCTCTGCATTTTTTTTCATTAAAACAAGCCTTTATCCACCATTTGTTTGGCATTATTTCTTTGGCATTACAATTTAAGGTGATGTTTATAGATAAAGAGTTGGTTGAACTTCTGCTGCATTGTCAAATTCATTTATTTTATGCCTTGTGATTTATCTGAACTGGTATGAAAGACCAAGTATGTCATTTGAAAGGTTATATAAAAGTATATTAATCCCTATCTACTGATAATAAATGCATTTTTAAGACAATAAAACATTCATCCATTAAAATCAAGTTTTGAAGTTCTCCAGGTATTTCATACAGTCATGTTTAAAAAGACATTAAGGGTTATTGAATTAACAAACATTCATCTACGAGCCCAGGAAATACTTAGAGCTAATGTGACTTCACAAAACACCGACCAAAGCACACACACACAACCCAACATTGGCTGGTAACGTTGAAATGTTGAATTTGATCCTTTCAACACATTTTAAATCGAATAGATTTAATGTATGATATTTGGAGACAAAGTTCTGGAAGTTTATCTTTTTTTCTTTTCACATTGATATGCATATCTTTGCAAGGTTGTCCATAAAAATTAAGCCCATTACTCTCTAGTGGACCTAGTTTGCCTTTAGCTAACTGAGAACAACTACTCCACCTGGTGGTATTGTGTTATCATGGTATTCTATTACTGTGAGCCATTAAAGGAAGAATGTGCATCAATATACACATAAATATAGCATACATCAAGTGTATCCTTTGTAAATGTCCCTCTGAGTCATAATTGTCTACAATGAGTGAGAAGCGTGAGTCCAGCCAGCTGTACTGTTGTCAGAGCTGTGTTTACATAATGTTTACATGGACGGGACTGCCTTGTGTATAAAGCTGTTTTAGTCAAGGACTAGAGAAAAGATGAATAACATAGTCTAATCACTGCTCATTTGGATGTCATGTAAGTGTCAATTTATGTGCAATATGAAGCTTAAGTTAACCAAAGTGTGCTAACATTAGCCTGCTAATACAACAATGCAGGACACAGGCGTTGCAGCTCAAGCAAAGGACAATTTTGTCCGCCGCTTGCACTTAATGGTGCTTAATCATGGTTGGTTCTAATTCATAACACCTTCATGGAGTGGAGAGGGGTTGAAGGTGTGCTGCTGGAGGAGAGCGGAGGATCCAGAATAGCAGAGGTGTGGCAAAACAGCATTTTCTTTATTTTAATGCTGATGCTCAAGGGCGACATCTACTGAATCAAAAAGTCGCACATTCTTCCTTAAATTGTGTGGCTGACATCTTTTCATAGCCTTTCTACAAAAGTCCACACACCTCACAGCAGAGTAAGTACAGATTAGTCTGATAATAAAAGATGACAGAAAATAAGTTGATGTCAAACAATGTTTAGTAATGCACATAGTATCCACAATCACAACTTCATTCTATATGCACTGAAAGGAAATCTTACATGGGATGAATATTTCTGAATTTACTGATTAATAATTGTGTCAGAAGGAACCTGCAGCTTTTTTTTATTTTTATAAATTAACCAAAACCGAAATTCATGATTTAAGTTTAAGTGAGTCAAAAACATGAACATGTCATTAGCAGAAAATGTATCACAAACAGTCAGAGTAAGAAACCTGTTACACATTATAAAAAATCCAAAAGACAAATCAGAGTGATTTCACAAATAAAAAAAATAAAAAATGTTGAGTGATAATCCATGTTTGTGCTATGTTTTGTTTCTAAATGAGGTGTGCAGTGCATTGACAATGTGCCATTGATGTCATTCAACTTCTCCGGTTGTAGCTTTGTTAAGCACAGACTTACAAAGGAACAGCACATGCTGAAGATTTCTTCTGAATATCGTTTGTTAACCAGAGGTAGTCGGAAACAAATCTCCTCTTCTTTCCCTTCCTTCTTCTATTCACTGACTCTTCATCTTTCAAAAGAAATGTTAACCCCCTGTAAACAGCATGTGCACCTGCCAGATACATCCATAGTAGTTCTAAATTATTCTTGACAATAGACCTCACTTCAGTTTAAAACAGAGCTCAGGGGGTTTTAGGGCCTGAAGAAGATGGCGCCTCCTGTGGTTCTGTCTGTTCAGAAGGTGCAGAATTAGCGCTCACGGGAGTCTCCTCTCTCTTTTCTCCTGACAGGAAGTCATGGATGGCAGTTTCTATGTGTGGCCTGAAAGTGTGGTTCATCTTTGGGTCCACGACCTGAGTAATGATTCTGTCCACACCTGACTCCAGCATGCCAGATCTTTAAAAAAAAAAAAGAAGAAGAAATGACAACAACAAAAACATAAAAAATAGCTACGTATATATTAAAAAGGGTTAAGGAAGCACAATACTGAAACCCAATTAAAGAATAGGTACTGTTACTGGACTTGGGAAGACTAAAAGAAACAGCAAACTTAAAATATATCTCATGACAAAAATGCAATAAAGCTATGATCATCAATTAAATTAGCTAATGAGAAGTGAGCTGAATGACTTAAAACTTAACACTAAACTGGAATCCTATTATTGTTGTTATTTTGAGAACCCATTTGATGGAACAATTTGGCATCCTGACTGTATTAGGATAGGATAGGATAAAACTTTATTGATCCCCAGAGGGGAAATTCGGGCGTTACAGCAACACAGACAAGAAAGCTCAAAATACACATTAAACAGAATAGATAAGACAAATAAAAATAAAAATAAAAACAGGGGGTATATACAGTACAAAATGAATGATGAAGTAAACTAGGGGGAATTGAGAATTGTGACAGTATTTGCAGAGAATGACAAGATAAAGTAAAGTGATGATGGTGTGATAAAATAGCAGCAAGTAATGTAAACAGCAGAGACGAGAGGCAGTGTTGTACCACTGTAATGCAGAGTGCAGTTATATAATATAACGTAGTATAATAATATAATATAGTGCAATATGAATATAGTGTAATATAATGAAATGTTATATGATATAGACTAGTATAATAATATAATTAAAAAAAAATACTATTAGTATTAATAGCAAATGACTGCTATACTTTTACTGTTGAGTTTTGCTTCAAGAAAATTAACATGTTGAGAAGAATAAATCCTGTATTTTAATGATTTTTAAAAAAAGACCCTTAATTCCCAGAGTTTCTCTACATGTACACTGTTTTGAAGAGTGTTTATGGTTACACTTACTGGACTACACTTTGCCTCAGTCCGTTCCTCATCTGGTTTTTGTTGATCGACGGATTCCAGTCCTGTGTGCTCAGCTGCGATGTGACGAAGTTGTCAACTTTCTGCTGCAGGTTCTGGTAGGCGGGCTGGTACAGTGACAGTACAATTAACAAACAGACTACTGTGTGTATGGTAGGAAGAACAGAAGTAACACCATAACATTTCATTATAGCCAACATTATCTTTGGGACTTGTTAAGAATAACACAGATAAATAACAGAAGTAGTCTGTGTATCTTCCGCTGACTACCTTTGTATCAACGTCGGCCAGACAGTCCCGACGAAACTCGTCAAAAAGCCCGTGGTTCTTCAGATGCTCCACAATCATGCCGATGAGCTGTGGGTCTCCCGGAGGAAGGTTGGCCGGTCCAACAACACTCACGTTCCCGCTTCCCTCTGCCATGTCAAAACCGAGGGGCAAATGTTTCACTTCACCTGTAAGTCACATCGAAAACTAGCTATCTGCGCTTGTTTTCCTACAATAATGTGGGGTCGACTCGTTTTGTTCCGTCGTGACCATAGAACGTGGTCGTGACAAACCGCGGGGAGGGGAGGGGGGGGCGGGGATATCGTATTTCCATAAACGACCTACGCCGGTTGAAAACTGGGAGACGCTGTCTTGTAAATCAAGCGCTTTATATTTACTCACCGCGCATGCGCACAGTCTGACGTTAGAAGTACTTCCGGCGCGGGCTGCGAGGGAGAAACGCTTCAGAGGAGTGATAATGCTCAGTGAAATTTTTGAAATAATTTAAACAGCTTCATCATTAACCCTGAACCAAAGTGTGTTTTTACTTGGTTGGGTTTTTTTTTTTTTTCTTTTCGCAGGAGGGAGTTTGTTCTTTCATTTTAGCTTCATAATCCTCGTTTACTTGGACTACCGTTGTGCAAGGTAAAGCTACCGCTAGTTAGCTGTATATGCTAACACAAACTCACACATTTGTAAGCACTATAAATACTAAATTGCAGTCTTCTATTTAATCGACTGAGCATCAGCGAACTATCGTGATATAGACAAGAGATGGGTGTTGCTGTCAACACAGTCTTCAGTTATTAAAGTGATAAACCAGTTTGCTCACGATGAATAAAGCTGTCATATGTTTATAGTCATCAAGTGATGAATTGAAGCAACTGGCTGGTTTATTTTTCACATGTCAAGATATAATTAGTTCTGGTGGGCACTGATAGCGAGATGCTAACTAATGAATTCATTTTAAAAGACTTAGCATATCCTGCATTGTGTCTGTGTAGGTTCTCAGTCATGTCATCCAGGTGTTTGGTAAACACTTGATCCAAAGGGAACTGGACTTAGTTGAAGAGTTGCCTTTGGATCAAGCTTTGAAGTCAAGTATTTTCTGTTTTGCAGCACTACCAGTATCTTGGTATTTGCGGTTTATGTCTCGGTTGGGTCAAAGTCAACTTTTTAATGTTGTATTGCAAACATATTGATGCACATTTTCAAAGGAAATCAGAGTTAAGAAGATAATTCTCTCGACGTTTTTTGATAAACTGTAACCAGTTTATCTCAGACCTTTTTTGGAGACTGATGGCTTCGTATTGCAAAGGCCTCAGTTAGAAGACATTGTACAGCAGGATATGAAATGTTCACTTCAGCTTCACTACTCTACAAAACACTTGCAGGATTCTGGTTTGATACAACTGTTTTTAATGCTGAAATGTAATGACTTGCTGACGTGGGTTTAATTAATGTTTCATATTCTGGTTGCAGATGAGTGGTGTACCAGATGCTCACAAAGAGTTTATGGAGCAGCTGCGTATGCAGGAACTCTACGGCCAGAGAAATGAGAGTAGCTCTGACCCCTACACCTACACTGACCCAGAGGATGGGACTGTGTATGACTGGGACCATGAAAAGAAGGCCTGGTTCCCTAAAGTATATACAATTCCTTTCCTTTTACTTTCTCACATCTTGTTGTGTGTTAAAAGTTTATACATACATGATGCTGCATTAAAATGTATGCAGCCTAGCTACTCTAACTGGAGGACTTTGGATTTGCAGCATTATCGTACATTTTTAAATTCATTTATAAGTCTTTCGTTAAGCTTTATATCTTAGAGCAAAGGCTTCTGTTAGGCTGATTTCTGAAATGAGTGAACTGCAATCCATCATGACTTGTGTCCTTAAAGTCTCATGAATCTTTCAGTGATGTTGAGATAAAATATACGTTTATTGTTCTAGTGGGGATTTTTTTCTGGAGTCTGTAGAACTGCAGTTACCCACAAGAAAATGAGAAGAACAATTCCACAGAAATCACAGTTCAGGCATACTAAAGGCAGTCTGCAACAGACAAGGGGACAATTTATTTTTCAGAAAGCCTCAGGTCACATGCAGCCTTTTCATATTGCTATTTCAAGTCACCACATTTACACGACTGTAGCGTCTTGCTTTCAATGTGAATGTCATGCAGGCGTGATGGTGAGACCAAGTCGTCCCTTCACTGTGATGGCATTGGAGCTAGTAAAAGAGGCATTATAGGTGAAAATGGGACCCCCATAATGCAGTGCATAATGTGTGTGCATGTCTGAGTGTGTTAATGTGGAGTTCCCTTGTTTATTGTCACGTCGTGCTTCTGCAACACTGTTACATAATGTGAAATCACAGACTGGGACAGCAATACTAAACGGTTGCAGGATCATTATGAAAGCGCAAAGATGATATGATGTATACTGCTGTTCTTATGATAGCCAGTTTCAGTGTTAATATTAAGTAGGTTTTTTTTTTTTTGTCTAGATAACAGAGGACTTCATTGCAGCCTACCAGGCCAACTATGGCTTCACTAAGGAAGGAGATCCAGACAACACTGCAGTGACCAGCACTGACCCTGCAGCTCCAGAAAAAGACAGCAAGCCTTCAGAAAAGAAACCAGGAGATGCCACCCAGAACCTGAATCCAGACTCGAGTGAGACCACAGCTAAAGATCCCAAGCAGAAAGGGGAGAAGAGGAAGGCAGAGCCAGGTAGAGAAGTATTAACAATAAACATTGCAGAGTCAAGAAGTGCAGGAAGTGTAACACAAATACGATAGGCAAAAGGTTGTGTAGGATGAGCTGCAGTCCTCATGTATATTTCAACATTTCTTCCTGTCTAAAGTTTAAGTTTACATTTGTGAAATGCACATTTAATTAAATGCTTTTTCTCTTTTTTGTCCATGTAGGATGGTTCGATATTGACAACAATAAAAACACAAACGTCTATGTGTCAGGTTGGTCGTACTAACCTTTTTTTCTATTATAAATCAGACAGATGTACAATAAGTATCTGACTCTATCTTATCTCACTCCTTCTCTTTCATTTTTCTTCTCCTGGTCTGATTCCCTCAGGTCTTCCTCCTGACATCAGCACTGACGAGTTTGCTGAGTTGATGTCCAAGTGCGGCATCGTGATGCGGGATCCTATCACTGAAGAGTACAAGGTGAAACTCTACAAGGACAAAGAGGGCAATCTAAAAGGAGATGGTCTCTGCTGCTACCTCAAGGTGAGTCTTTCCTTCTGCTAGCCTAATATATAATTTCCTTTGTTTCTATGAGTGGGGTGCATGATGTTTAATATACCAGCAGCCCACTGGTTGACACACATGAATGGATGCAGCAATATGTGCACATACCTTATGTAGTATGAACCGAAACACTTTAATCCAGGCTGTTTTTTTGCCATTCGTTCCTGAGTTCAATGTCTTTTAAAACTGTATCACTTAATAATGTACTCCAACAAATCAGGTAATCTGAAAAGAGTTTACATGGATGTGTTTAATTTGACATAAAGTCAAAGCAGTGGGAGGTGAGATATTTCATTATCTCCATGTGAAGGAAGAATCAGTACAGCTCTTGGAAGCAGACAAAAATACACTAAGTAAAATACAGAATATAATCAAGAAAAGCACAAACAGTATTCACATGTATACATTCTGACATACAAACAACTCCTAAACTGTAACTCGTCTACTATTCCAGGGGCTATAATGTTTTTTTTTTTAGTACCGTTGGTTTCTTCTGTGGAGTTTGCACTCTTACTAGCTACAGTACGGTAGTTGAGCTGTCAGTTTACGTTGAAAGTTGTGATGTACAGAACAGACAGTCCATTGAGTCATGCTGCTGACCTCTGCTGATCGCTCATTGACTTCAATTGAAGAGTCTTTCAATCAAAGCAGCACTCAACAATCTTTATTTACTGAACAGTAAAACATTTCTTTTTAAATGCACCATTATGACCTCATGACGGAGAGAAGATGGTAAAAAGTGGAGCTTCCAGCCTCCTCAGCGTCGCTGTTTCCCCGTGCAGCTACCACAATGAAGGAATTGAATTTTCAATTGCTTCATGTTGCTTGCACTGTTTGATGGGCTGCACTCATGGTAATGATGAAACGTGCGTCATTATTTTATACTGGTATATTGGTCGCAACAGTATACAGGACGCAGCCAACTTTTTAGATGTAAAAATAGGTTTTGAAAGTGAGTCTTATACACCGGATTTTATAGTGCTTTTTTGTCAGAACTTACCCTGATGACAGTCAGCCTAGTGTCACTCTACTTGTGGAGTTGTAAGCAGAAAGTATTACGCTGCTCTTCGGTTAATTCGCAGCGTTTGTCTTCTGGTTCTCTGCAGAAGGAGTCAGTGGAGTTGGCGCTGCGTCTGATTGATGACTCAGAGGTCAGAGGTTACAAACTCCATGTGGAAGAAGCTCGCTTTGAGCTGAAGGGCCAGTTTGACGCCAGCAAGAAGAAGAAGAAGAGCAAAGATTACAGGAAGAAGATGCAGCAGCAACAGAAGTAAACTTCATTTTCTCTTTTCCTAATCCTCTGCTTGGGGGATAAACACTGTCCCAAAAAAATGCTAAAATGGATTGAAAGGAAAAAAAAAAACAATAATGCATTACTTTGAACGCATTTCATGGATTCCTCTTATTTTACCTGTTTGTCTGTCTTTGTGTGTGTAGACAGCTGGACTGGAGGCCAGAGAAGAAAGGAGAATTGAGGAAGAGGCATGAAAAAGTAGTCATCATCAGGAACATGTTCCATCCCAGTGACTTTGAGGTGCAGAGAGACACACAAGTATACACTTACAAGCTCACCTAAAAACACTAGTCTGTTATTGTGTTAAACTCTGCGGTGTGTGCTGTACTTTGTAGGAAGATCCTCTTGAGTTGAATGAATATCGAGAGGATCTGCGAACAGAATGTGAAAAGTTTGGGGAGGTCAAGAAAGTCATCCTCTTTGATGTGAGTATAATGTCATGAGTGCAGTTTGAAAGACAACAGAACGGTTTGTGTTGTAAACCGAATTGTAAGCCTGTTTGTGTTTGTGCTGCAGAGACACCCAGACGGTGTGGCATCAGTGGCGTTTAAGGAGCCAGAGCAGGCCGACGCATGCATTCAGTCGTTCAATGGTCGCTGGTTTGGAGGAAGGCAACTGTCAGCTCAGCTTTGGGATGGGACGACTGACTATCAGGTAAACTACACGCAAAATACAAATATATTTTAGAAAAAAATCCTCTTTCAACAGTATATGCAGTTAGATTGGTAAAAC